TTTTCTTTTAAACTGATAATAATTCTCAAGTGGAAACGAAATGGGCCGTTTTTAAACTTCCAAGCCTTTCTTCAGGGATTTTACACCAAGGCGATGCCCAGTGGAATTATAATAGACCCAAGACTAGCATCCCAGAGTATATAAATCTCAGTAAGTAAATGTTAATTTTTAAAGTATATCAGGACAATCAGTAAAAGGGCTGTGTAAAATGTAAATAAAAACAGAATGCAGTGATTCTTCATGTGTCCTAAACAAAGGTATACCCCGCCTCCTGCCCTCAAACCTGGGATGCGTTTGTACGAGCAGGTCTATTTGTGTTGCAGCTGGTGGTGGCAGATAAGTTCCTCTTGCTATTAGACGGTTTATGGTATAAAAGAAAACTGCCTCATCTTTTTTTTTTTTTTTTAAGATTTTGTTGGCTCTAGTGGCCTTTAATGACAGTAGCTTGACAGGAAAGGGGGCAGAGATAGAGAGGGGGAGACCTGCGGGAAAGGGCCGTGGGCCAGACTTGAACCCAGGCCGCCCGCTTATGAGGAGGTCCTCACACATGGTCCGCCCGCTGTAACCATTAGGCTACGCTGCGGCCCTCAAACTGCCTCATCTTTATGTAGTGGCATGTAAGTGGTAATAAAATCTTTTCTCATCTCCAATGCGCTCTACGCTTTTATCTTTAGCCTGTGTCATCTCTTAATTCTAAATGGAAAAAAGGGAAAGTGTAGGAGAAATTTTGAAAAATGTATTTTCTTTATTCTATTGTGACTTTCGTCCAAAAGTAGGACAGTTTGTGGTTTTTACTAGCGGAAAAATTACTGAAACAAATACAAATAATTCTTATTTACTTAAATCTATAAGTAAGTGTTTGAACACTCCCCACATTTCCCCTGCAATATGTGTTCTTGCATGTTTTAAGATGTACTTCAATTGTCAAGTTTTTATTCCTAAATAAGCTATGCTTGGCTACTGGTCATTTAAAGCTTTGAGTTTGGGCTAAAACGTGTTTCAAAGTGTGGTCTGTAATTGATACTAAACATTCTGTTGATGGTTGGACATAATTACATATTTCATTTAAGGCTGTGGTCATCTCCTAGAAATCAATCTATTTCATTTTCAACAAGAGGTGCCAAGGATACACTTCATAGAGAAGAAAGATAAAATAAAGTCTTTCAAAAGAATTCTTGTGAAAGGCTTTAAGGCTACTTTTTTCTTCTCGGGGATTGTTGAAGCGTAAGGCTATTTTTTAAACTTGATATGGCTTAATAACATTAAATAGACGTGTCTTGTAAGAAAAGCAGGATCTTTTGCTAACTCATCTTAGTCTTAAATGTTGTTTTCACTTCATATTAACTCCTCCTGCTCAGATAATCCTGCTCAACATTGTGATTAGATTAGACTCAATCATTTATGTTGTAAAGTTTGATCTAATCTTAGATTAGGAAACAACCTGTCTGCTGTTCAACTCATTCCGCAAATCCTTACTTCACTCTTCAGAAGGGAATGGTGGCCTGCCTGTAAAAAAAAAAGTAACTGATATTGGGAGATGATATTAAAAATGCATAAAACATTTTTTTTTGTTTGGAGAGCTGGTCATTTTTTATTTGAATAAGGCACATGAACCACTTGAGACAAGACTGTCTCTTCCTATTTAAGATACTGTGTGGAGATCGATTTTAACAGAAGTTTTGGGTTTGAGACCTAAGAGAAGACCTATCTCACTACTTCCTCTAAAGCTCATCTTTACCTTTCAGTGAGCGGCCCCACGGTGCCCCCTTTGTCCCTGTCATTGTCCCAGGCTTACAGCGCCTCTATGCTAAGTGAGAGGCTTTGGGGACATATGTCACTTCAGTGAGTCTCCTGTTGCTTCTTTAGCAGCTCAAGTGGGGGGGCGGGGAGTGAGGCGTGTCTGTGCAGCGGGAGACCAGCACTGTAGAAGAGGTAGAAGAGCAAGGACATGTCAGAGATGTTTGCTCTAAGAAAGATAAAGAGTTGTTGGCACGATTCCCTGGCAGTTCTTTACTTTTGTGTGGACTTCTAGTGCGTCTGCCAGGCCCCGCTGCGAGTGGTACGAGATGTAAAATGACCAAAAAAAAACTGTGAGTATCTCACAACTTCTTGCGGGGTACTCCCCTTGTACACTTATTTTATATTAATTTGTTTAGAACAACTTGCAAGATCATTTGTGCCTTGCTGTGAAGCCTCTTCTTTACCAAGATGCTGCTCTGTTCCAGAGAGACAGAGCTTAATGTAAAGGGGGTGTGGGATTAGGGAGGGTATAAAAGTCACTGTGTACATTGTGTTGAAAAGGATTGGAGTGCAGTAGTCACACTCTTCATGCCTTGGCCAACTAATGGCTTAGGTAACAAAATCCCTGCGGATCTGCGGGTATGATCTGCCATGTGTTCAGGTAATAGATCCCTGTGCCGCAAAAACAAATGCACCGTTCCCTGTTTATACAGCCACTCCACCCCGTTCTATGCACTCAGTATTTATACCTCTTGAATGCA